CACTGGCTTGAGCTTAGCTACCTGCCGCAGTTGGAAGAAGCTTCTCTGCAGAACCGAACTGATCTGTTTGTCGAACTTAAAAAGCATCTCAACTGCATCTCAAAGCATTTCAACAGGTAATATGAACTCTTTAGGTAAGGAATTTATGTGCAAAATATAGTTTGTTTTCCTAAAATAACCTGAAAAAGACATAATGGATGCACATCTGCCATCACATGGGTGGCACAATATGTCTGTTCAGCCTGAGGGACAGTGTTTGTGAAACTCAGCGTACTGAAAGGCATGTGTCCCTTCTGTCTCAGTCCATCCTAAATGAGCTTGTGCCCATGAAGGTGACGTGTCTCTTGATGTGATTGTCTCCCTCTTAAAGCAATAATAGTTTTGCTTGTTTATGAGTGTGTTCATTTGTCTGGAACAGCAGGAAAATAACCAGTGGACTGATTTAAAAGGAACCCTCAGAAAGTAACAATTTGATGTACATCTGCAACTAATTACCTTTGAGAGACAACCCAGCTCAAGACAGCCTTTTAGATTTGAAACATTGGATGCATTTGTTTCTCTTGAGACTCTTTGGTGCAGTTTTTAAAAATGTTGCAAAGTAGCTTGTAAACATGACGACATCATGTCTACTATTATGTGATTAAAAAAAGTAATTTTTGATTATCTGTATGTGTGAAAGGTTTCCCTGGTCCCCCTGGTCCACCGTGTCCTACCTGTTGTCCCACTGACGTGAGAAACACGACCATCAGCGCGCACGTTCATCAAACCACCGTTTCAAACGGTACAAACTTGGACACAAAGAGAACTTTTGTATCCTTATGCAAAGATAAGAAACTAAAATGTAAAAGTATTACTTAGGCTTTACCCAAGATTTAAAGTACATCAAGTGAAATTTGAAATATGCGAAATATGTTTAATTGTTTATTGGAAAACAGAACAAGTAGAAATAAAATTGTTTCACCTTTATGTAGCGTATGAAATGACTGCAAACAAATAAAACTAGTGACAAATTCAGAAAGTTAAATTCTACTTAATTTCAGGCAAAAATCCTAAATCATGTTTGTTTCTTTATTTTATTGCTTTATTGAGTAAGTCATTTATGCTTATTGTCTATAAATGTTCTTTATTTATTTACTGAATTTTAAATTTAAATACATTTTTCCTTATGTGTTTGAGTTTAGAGGAAATTTATTTAGCAAACATGTAGACCTTATTTGAAAACACATTTTTTTAACAACTTTCACGATAAGATTGTAACCAGGTTTTCTTTTTGCTGTTTGTATGAAAACAACAAATGTCTTTCTCCTCTCAGACACACGGACAGCTCGAAGAGACGAAAACGTCAAAAATGATTCGAATGGTAATAACTCCGTGAAACACAAACTGACAATAAAATTATAAAAATGCAGATTTCTCTTCAGCACTCAAAGTATGGTATTTTTGTTTCATCCTACAGCGTTACCTACAGTAAGCTCAAGTGACAGCAGTGATGCCTTCAGTGGCAGCAGAAATGTCACTGAACGCACCACGACAGAAGGTAATAATACATTTATTTGTTTTTGGGTTAAAATTAATCAGTTTAAATACCACACATCTGTTAAAAGAACATTTTCTCCCCTCATATTTAAATTTTACATTTATCACTGTTTAGTTTGGAGTTTTGAACTATTTAAATTTATTATTTTTACATTTTTCAGAGTTGGTATCGCCTCGTCCAGACTATGAACATACGGCCTGGATTGGCACCAGCTCAGAAACAACAGAAAAAGATAACAACTCATTAACAGGTTAATTAAGAAGCTTATTTAGAACCCAGTTAAATGACTTTTTGAGTTATTTACTCACAAATTAGATCTTGATTTCATAAAATCTCCTTGTTTCTTTTAATTCTCCTATTAGTTCGACCAACAGCGAACCCAGACGTCATAGGCAGAGGTCCGTTAAACATCACAGCCTTTGAAGAACGTCGTCATTTTAAAATCGGTACGCAGCCATTCAAGTGGCAGAAAAACACTCTGCCAGCAACATTTTGTTTTATTTGTGAACAAACCTTTTCAGTTTTTATGTGTATTCAGAATCAGAATCGCAGGCAGCTGAAAACAATCAGCTGAACGATACCAACTCTGAGAGACGTCTGCACACAGAGGCCGACTCCGGTAAATCCCTGACAGACCTCACTTTGAGTAAAGAAAAGCAAAACACCATTAACTTTTTTATTTTTCTAGACTCAGTAATGAACACCAGGAATGTGACAGAGGAACCGATAAAGGTTTTATCAGGTTAGAGCTCTTCTGCTTCTGGCTCTAAGTTTGAATTCTCTTCTTTTTGTTTTAGATCAAGTGTGTTTAAACGTAACCTCTAACATTTGATCCATAGTTCTGCTGGATCTGCACCAGAACACCGAGGCCTTCAATAACAGCAGAGACTATTTTAATTCAAGCCTGAAAATGGGTAATTTTTATTTGACACAACTAAAATGTTTGTGAACATTTCTCTTCTCATCATAAAGTCTAATCCATATTTCTGTGCTGTTAGTAGACAAACAGTTTCAAACATTTTAGTTCTTAATAGACAAGGGCCCGCATTGAAAAGCCACAAAAATTATTCTTTAAGATTTAAAAAAAAAAAAATCTATATATTAAAAAAACAGATATGTGATGTGTTGGGATTTTAAAAGCAACATTTGAGGTTCGAGGTTCATCACAGAAGTAAAAGACTAAACTGAAATGGAAATATTTCCCAACAAGTAATTCATAAAATCATTTTGTATTTTTCTCTCTCTTTTTTTATTTTTTCAGGACCACAAACTCCACCATCTGAAGAAATGAGAGATGCTTTTAATGTTTCGGACTTTATCCATTATCTAAACACAGAAAAGGAACCGGGTAAACCATCAAAACTGTGGTGGCATTGACATTTTAAAATGTCATAATTTAATCAATTCTGTTTATTTGTTCACATGTTGAGGACAAGAAGAATTTTATGAGGACGTCACTCACGGCACCTTGAAAGACTTTAACATGGACAATGTCACAGAGGAACTGGCAAAATTACTACCTGGTAAAATCGATGCTTTTGGCTAGAAACGTCAACCTTTCTTCTTTATGTCTTTTTAGATTAAACATGTTTAAAGTTGTTGACTAACGTGTCATTTTATTCTGTAGTCCTCGTGGATCTCCTCCAGAACAGCGATGCCTTCAGAGACGTCAGAGACTTTATTGAATCAAGCCTGCAAAATGGTAAAAATGTACTTTAATATTAAATATACTGCAAGCCTGAAAGGTAAAAAATAATTTCTAAAAGTAAATGCTTAAAATCAACATATGTGGTGTTTCAGCTGAGACTGAGAAGATCAGAGATGCTTTAAATGTTTCTGACTATGAATCATTTAAATGCAAAACTAGATGTTAGTCAGTTATTAAAACTGTGGACAAAAACCTGGACTCAAACTTCATCCATCCATCCATTATCTTTACCCGCTTATTCCATTTTGGGTCACGGGGGTCGCTGGTGCCCATGTCCAGCAATCACTGTGCGAGGGGCGGGGTACACCCTGGGCAGGTCGCAAGTCCATCAGAGGGCCACATAGAGACAAACGAGACAAACAACCATTCACTCTCTCACTCACACCTAGGGACAATTTAGAGTTACCAATCAGCCTAACATGCATGTTTTTGGTCTGTGGGAGGAAACCGGAATACCCGGAGAAAACCCACGCATGCACGGAGAGAACATGCAAACTCCACCCAGAAAGGCCCCTGGACCGGGGTTTGAACCAGGGACCTGCTTGCTGAGAGGCAGCAGCTCTACCAGTTGCGCCACCGTGCTGCCCTGGACTCAAACTTATTGTATTTAATTTAAAACGTATGTTTATTTTTTTTAGGAACAGAAGGCTTTTATGAAGACGTCATTCATGGCACGCTGAATGACTTCAACACGGAAAATGTTACTGAGGGAATGTTTAAATTATTATCAGGTTAGTTTTCTTCTGCTTATGAATTTTCCTCATTTAGATGACTCGACCCAATTATTTAACAGCATTTTTTAGAGTGTGTGGTGCTTTTTTTTTTTTTTATAAACAAGGATAATGTGGAAAAATTGTAGCAACTACAGGAGAATTAAGTTAATGAGCCACATGATGGCTTCTGTGGTTAAAAAATAAAAGTGTGGGAGAGAACTTGGAGAGGTGGAGGTGTGCGATTGAAAGAAAAGGAATGGAAGTCAGACATCGTAAGACAGATGTGTGTGAATGAGAGGGAGGCCGGTGGAACAGTGAGGACTTCAAGTACTGAGAGTTGAGTGTCCAGGAAAATGTGGTGAAAAGAGAGTCCAGGCAGGATGGAGAAAAGTTTCAGGAGTGATGGATAAGATTATGTACGAGATCATCAGAGGGACAGCACAGGTTGAACAACTGGGAGATAAAGCTAGAGAGGATGGTTTGGACATGTCCAGAGGAGGGACAGTGGGTATACTGGTAGAAGGATGTTAGAAATGCAGCTGCCAGGAAAAAGACAAAGAAGAGACATATGGATGAAGTTAGAGAGGACGTGGAGATAGTTGGAGTGAGGACAGAGGATGCAGAGGACAGAGATGGAGGAGGACTCGCTGTGGAGACCCCTGAAGAGGGAACAAAGAAGAAGAAGATGTGTACTTAGATTAAATGTGGTTGAACTTATTGTCTAACATGACATTTTATTTTCTAGTTCTCATGGATCTCCTCCAAAACAATGATGCCTTCAGAGACTTTATTAACTCCAGCCTGCAAAATGGTAAAAAGTTGTTTTATATCTTATACTACAGAGAGCCTGAAAGTTAGACAATAGGCCTTGGGTCTAAAAATACTGGAAATGTCACAAATAGTTTTTAAGTGTATTTTATTTATTTATTTATTAACTGTAGTACCAGGAAGACAAACTGTAAATAATATCTAAATGCATGACATCATCATATATGTGTGTGTTTCAGCTGAAACTGTGAAGCTCAGAGATGTTTTTTATGTTTCTGACTATAAGTCATCTAAATGCAAGAATGGAGCTCAGTCAACTTTATCAAAACTGTATTTAATTTAATTTTGTTTGTGTTTTTTTTAGGACCAGAAGGTTTTTATGACAATCCCCTTCATGGCACAGAAAATGTTACAGAGGAATTGGTAAAATCATTACCAGGTATGATCTCCTCTGCTTTCAGATAGAAACTTTACATTTTCTTTTTTATGTTTGAGATTAAATGTGTAAAACAATTTTTATCTAACGTGTCATTTTATCCTTTAGCTCTCATGGATCTCCTCCAGAACAGTGATGCCTTCAGAGATATCAAAGACTTTATTGAATCAAGCCTGCAAAATGGTAAAAATGTTATTTTAAATTTAATAAATGTGAAACATTTCACAGTGATGCGTGTATATGAACAATATTTCTCTTCACATTTATGAATCTTATCAAAATACTTGGCTAATTGCTGATTGTTATTATTGATTTAAAGCATAAAGGATGAGATAATATGACACACTTCTAAAATCAGCAAAAATGTCTCTAAGATTCTTCTGTTTTGAGTTTATCCATTAAATATTGTTGCGTATATTAGTGTTTTTAAAGATGAATTTTCTTCTTCCCCAGAAATACCAATTCTACATTCAGATGAGATCAGAGATGCTTTAAAAGTTTCTGACTTTATCCGTCATCTAAATGCAAAAATGGAACCTGGTAAACCATCAAAAATGTGGTGAAAAAGAAAAAAATAATAATAATCAAGTGTTGACTTTATCAAAACTGTTAATTTATTCTGTTTAAAACATTTTTTTAGGAAAAGAAAATGTGGATGAAGATGACGTTTACATCATCCTGAAAAACTGCAATGCAGAAAATGTTACAGAGGCACTGATAAAGTTGCCAGGTTGGATTATTTTTTCTGCTTTCCGCTATAAACTTTGAATTTTGTTCACATATTTTACGAATATTTAGATGAAATGTGTACAATCTTAATCTCTCGTCATTTGATTCTGTAGTTCTCCTGGATCTCCTCCATAACAGTGATGCCTTCCGTGACATCAGAGACTTTATAAAATCAAGCCTGCAAAATGGTAACAATGTAGTTTTATATTAAATGTGCTATAGAGAGCCAAGAAGGCCTATGGGCAGTCATTATCAGAGGCGTCATCAACGCCATAGAGGCTCTGAGGCAACAAAGAGCATTGTTGTGGTCGGTAATGACTTCTAAGCTTCAAAGCTGTCTACTGTCGCCAACACCGTGAAACATATTCTTGGACCATATCATACCTGAGGCACTGATACGGAATGATTCCCCTGTAAAACTGGAAGGATGAGACATCTGCAGTCTTCACTTTCTGATGATGGAGATCTCAGGACTGCACCAATGATCAAGCCATTCAACCAAAGAACATAAACCTCGTGAGTTGATATCGTGGCATGGAGATTAGCTTTGATAAAACCACAACCGTGGTTTTTGGTAAAGAGGAGTATGTTTTAGTGAGCTTCAGGGAGACAGAACTCCAACAGTTTGTAGAGTTTCTTGGTTCTTTGTTCACATCAGAGGACAGCTCAGTTAAAGACGTCAAGGATAGCCAAAGCCACCAGTGCCCCGGCAAGACTCACACTTGTTTGGAAGGACAAATCGGTGTCTCTGGCTACCAAAGTTAGACTCCTAACTTCTTCCTTCCTTGTCTGCGCTCCAAAAACCTGGACTTTAAATGCTGAGATGGAGAAAAGAATATGCACATTTGAAACGACCTGCTCGACACTTGCTTCAAGTCCACTGCTCCTCCCACACTACAAATACTGAGATCCACTGTAGAGTCCTTGTCGTCACTGGAGATCATAGCTCCTTCCTAATGCAGACTAAGAAGAGGAACTTGAAGTGGTTTGCTCGTGTAGTGAGGCCCAAGAAACCCACAAAATGTGGCGTCGTCCTCGACAATCAGAAGATGACATCTGCAGCTGAACTCTCTTTCCATATCTTCAACCATCCTGCTGAGGATCAGCCAAGGTGGAGGCTGCGTGATGTTTGCACTGCCCCAGTGGCACTAGGAGAAGGAACTGATGACGACGATGATGAAAAGTTAAATAGAACTTGGGTTTAAAAGCAGTGGAAATTCCTCTGATACAAAAAAAAAAAAAAGAAAAATGTAAAATGTGTTGTACAGTATTTTATATTTTCTAAATGTATTTGTTTATTTTGAAAAGACGAATGTTAGATTTGTAGTTACCTGTAATAACAGGAAGATAAAGTGAACTATACAGATTTTACAAGAACATGTGCATCAAATCAACATCTATGAGTTTTTGCTGATACGGAGAAGATCAAAGTTTGATCTTTATCGATCATCTAAATGTAATCTGTTAAAACTGTGAAAAAATACCAAGTGATTTTTTATCAAAATCCTATCATTCAATTAATTCTGCTTGTTTGTTTATTTATTTACTTTAGGAGAAGAAGATTTTCATGAAGATGTCAGTCACGGCACCTCAAAAGACTTCAACACAGAAAACGTCCCTGAGGGACTGGAAAAAATATTACCAGGTTGGATCTCCTCTGCCTCCAGCTGTAAACTCTGAATTCCCCTCTTTTATAGATTAAATGTATTTAAAGTTGTTGTCTAACGTGTCCTTTTATTTTGTAGTTCTCATGGATCTCCTGCAGAACAGTGATGCCTTCAGAGATGTCAGAGACTTTACTGAATCGAGCCTGCAAAATGGTACAAACGTCGCTGTGGAGAAACAAAAAGCATAAACTTGATCAAAACTGCATTTAATTTATTCTGTTTTAACAACTTAGGGAAAGAAATGTTTGATGAAGATGACGTTTACATCATCCTGAAAGACTGTGATGCAGAAAATGTTACAGAGGGACTAATAAAAGCACCAGGTTGAAGCTCCTCTCCTAAACTTCCAATGCTTTCTATCTTTTTTTTTATTATCTTTATTATTATTGAATAAATAGTCCTAACTGTTTGAAAGAACATGATTTAAAAAGTCTAACTTGCAATTTCATTTCCCAGTTCTACTGAATCTCCTACAAAACAGGGATGTCTTTGATGGCAGCAGAGCTTTTGTTAAGTCCAGCATGAAACGTGGGTCAAACTGTCACTCTGTATTTGATGTGTGTGAAAACTTTCACTGTGAAACTTGTATTTGAAGATTTCGTCTCTTTTTTGAAAACTATCATTAGTACTTTGTTGTAAGTTGACAATCCACAAGTTTGAAGTTTTGTAAACCTCAGTGATTCTGATTTTTTTATTAAAAAAAAAAAATGTATACTCTGTAATATAAACTGTGAAAAATGTCCCCTCAAAAATGCATACAATTTGAGTTTCGTCCTTAAGTTACAACAGAATGCAACAGCTCACTTTCTTCACTTAATGTACTTTTAGTTTTTTCAGCTCTTCTTGTTGAATCATGTATTTATTTATATTTTACAGAACCACCTTCTCCACACTCAGCTGGAAGGACTAGGGATTCTTCGACTGCTTCGGACTCTAACAACCATCTAAATGCAAAGTTGGAACTAGATAAAGGTAAACCATTGAAACTAGGAAGAAATATCACATTCTGACTTAATGAAAACTACGTTAAACTGAACTTTTGTTTTAGAGACAGACAATTTTCCTGAAGATGTCAGCCATGGCTCCTTGAGTAGTTTAGAGACTAAAGAGGTTACAGAGGAACCTATAAAACATTTAGCAGGTATCATCACACTTATCTCATAACCTTTAAAGGGATGGTCAGGTCATTTTTTTATGTTATGTGCTGTCAATAGGTGGTACCTTATCAGCTGTGACATTAATTTTAAAGCATGGAGTATTTAAGAAAGGGCAGAAGCATTAACAAAGCTTGATGGTGTGTCCGTTTTCTCTTAAACAAAATTGAAAACATCATGTCGTTTTCTTTGGGCGCTGCCCACCATGTTGTACTCGGAGCCAGAGGCTGCGCTCCAGATGTGTGGCGTACCTTCAATACAAAAGTCCCGTCTACACAGCTGTCCATCTTGCTGATAGGCTGTTACGCTGTCAATCACAGTGTAGCATGACACTTTTCTTAAAGCCTCAAAATCGAATTGAAACTAAACGTGTTAAAATCTGTATATTTGATTAATCAGCAGCAAAAGGTAAGAACTACATGATTCATCATAAACCAACACATGAAAGAAATTATCTGAAGTGTTTTTTTGGGGGGTGGGGTGAGTTGTCGGAAAAATGTCCTATTTATTTACATGGAAGGACGGGACTTATTTATTTTTTCTTCAGCTGGCCTATAGAGGCACTTGTCCACTGTGGCCTCAAGTTCCACTTCTCTCTAGTTTTAATACATCTAAATGGGCAGATCTCTTTGTCCAGACTAGGCTAATGGTTAGCCAAATGTATGGTTTTAAATAGTTTTTCAGCCGTATATTCCAACTTTTTCCTCAAAAAACGCATACAGTTCTGAAAAAATACTACAAAGTACAATAGTAATAATAAAACTCTGCTTTTCAGTGACACAGTTGTTGGAAAAAAGGGATTCCCAAAACAACCGGGTGTACACTTCATCATATTTATTTACAAAGCTTTAGAGAACAGCCAGCAATCACAGAAGATCAATGCTTTCACCTGTCTGACTCTCTGACACATTCTGACTTCTTGAACAGAAAAAAATCAATTTTGTAGAAACTTCCAGCTGCCAGGCCACAGCTCATCCCCGCCCTGTCCGGCTGTTATCAGAAACACAGCTACAGCCAGAAGCAGGAGTAAAATCTGGGAGTCAGCAGCTCTCAAGGGATCTCAGATGAAAGTCCATGTAATTATATCAATCACCTTGTGGTTAATAGAATTATCTCTTGCTGCACCTTTACTGACCGGTCAGTAGCATTCAGTAACCTCTCAGCACCATCTTTAGCCAAAGACTTTTGCCTTTTTCTTCAGACCGTGATTTTTGACTGAAGTTACATCAGATAAAGTACTAGCCATTGATAACTATTTAACAAAACAGCGCTTAAAAAATGACGACAATCCCTTTAAAATCTTCCTTGGTTGCTTGCATTGAACCTGCGTTGCATGTTTAACGTGCCTTTTCACTCTGCAGACCCACTTGAAGTGGACTTTTCCAGCAGTGCCCTCAGTGGCAACAGAACTGTGAATAAAGCATTCATTAAAAATGGTAACGTCATCACAACTGATCATCTACTCACGTTTTCCATCTGTTGAATCGGTACCAACATGTTTATTTGAATGTTATGTTTATTTCTTTAGAGTCGCCGTTACCAGATGGAAACAACAAAGATACTTTCAACACCAATGACTCCAAGAAACATCAAAATAGAAAAAAAGATCCCGGTAAGTAATCATAGTTGTCAGTCAAAATCAATTTTTATGCAAGACCTGGTAATACTGCAGTTTATTTTTCCAGCTATATGAATTAATTTAGTGACTGTGTTGTTCTCAAACAGAAAGAAAATGCCAAGCAGAACACAAACAGTGCTAAAAACCATAAAATCTAACTAAAGTCTGAGTAAAAGTACTCTGGATATACTATATATGTTAAAAAAAAAATTTCACCAAACTTCTAAAAGTATTTTCTAGCATTGAGAACATTTGATCAGGATGCTAACTGAATTATACTTAAAAAACACAAGTACTTACAGAACATCAGTGAGTGTTCCCTTTTTTTTCAGATTTGTATTTTTATGTCACAGCCTCTCCGTCTGCAGACGGGGGTCAAAGGAGGAACACTTTGAACAGCAGCGGGAGCAATTTGAACAAACAAATGAAAAGTGGTGAGAAACTGTCCCGTGTTGCAGTCCAAGCTGTTGTTGAACAGATACCTTTATTTTTCTTTATATTATTAAGTCTGCACATCAATCTGAACATACCTATTTAATAAAATCAGAGTAAACGTCATATTATCACTGGGATTTATTATTTCACAAATCAAATATTACTGTATGTCAAAATGAAATAAGCATCTTTTTATTGATATTTTCCTTCAGACTCGTCAGATTCGTTGCAGACGACCTACAATACAATCAACGCACCTACCCCTGAGAAGTGGACAAAAACAGGTGAAAGCATGTCGTTGAACTCGGCCTTAAATGATCAGAGCTCTGTAAAGATCTTGAGCATTCTTACGTTTGTGCTTATGTCCAACTAGAATGTGGCATTGAAGCCATCACATGCTCAGAGAACTCCACCACAATGCAAGCCACTTTTGGAGCCTGGATGTTGGACGCATCCCGGCCGGAGGAAGATCGATTCTGGTTGGCTGAGCATTTTTCAGGTGGTTCACGAGGCAGCCATTATTTTCTCAACTCGGTGAAGAGTTTCCCTGATTTACCGTAACGACGTTTCTCCACCAGGTCGAATTTTGCGAGAGTTCAAGAACATTTCGGCATTTCCAAATGCAAACCACAAAATTATTGATCTCCAGAAGTTCTACCAGGGCTGTGGTCACGTTGTCTACAGAGGAGCGTTTTACTTCCACAATGGAGGAACGAACCAGCTTGTAAAGTGAGTGTTTTTACGCTTCGTTTGTTTTAAATGCATTAAAACTGCTGTTTTAACTCTCTGAAAAGGATAATCGATCTCTGTCCCAGCACCTTTTTTTTTTTATCAGTGTTTTTCTTTTACAGGTTTGCCTTGAACACACGGAGAATGACCACTCTGGTCATGCCGTACAGCAGATATCACAACCTGAATTATCTCTTCAGGAACTCAAAGACATATTTCAAGTTTGCTGTGGATGAAAACGGCCTGTGGGTCATCTTTGCCTCAAACACAGGCGATAAGACCATGGTCGCAAAGCTCGACCCAGTCAGCTTCACTGTGGAGTCCATCATTGACACGGCCTTCCCCACAGATAAAACAGGGAATGCTTTCATCGTGTGTGGCGTGCTGTATGTTACAGATCCTTCAGACCGGGTTGTGACGTACGCATTCGACTTGCAGACACAGATTCTTCTTGATGCAAATTTTGCTTTAAGGCAAACTAATGACATCATGGCTATGCTGTCGTACTATCCCTACACAAACCTTCTGTATATTTGGAAGAACAGAAGCGTGAGCACCTGCAGAGTTAAACTCAAACACGCCTAGAAAAGAAACCGTCGTGAAATCTCAACAGTTTTCTATGTTTTTAAAAAGTGACTTAAATCTGTTTTTATTTTATTTTATTTGTTTTGTTGCAATGAACGTGTGACCTCCAAAATACCGTATGAGTACTGAAGATTTACTGACATACAGGTGAATCTGAAAAAAAATTAGAATATGGTGAAAAAGTTTTTGTCCGTCATTTCAGAAAGTGAAACTCATAGTTTACATAGATTCATTACACAGAGTGGACTCTTTCAAGCCTTTATTTCTTGTAATTTTGATGATTATATCTTACAAATAATGAAAAAACAAAATTCAGTGTTTCAGATAATTAGAATATTCCACTGGTTTTGGTAGCTTTGTCAGTGTGGTCCGGTGCTGAGTCCTGCTGGAAAATGAAGCCAGCATCTCCATAAAGCTCGTCAGCAGAAGGAACCATGAAGTCTCTAAAATGTCCTGGTAGATGATGTGTTGATGTGGACTTCAGAAAACCCAGTGGACCAGAACCAGCAGAGGACATGGACCCAAACCATCCCTGACTGGAAACTTCACTCTGGACTTCAACAACATGGATTCTGTGTCTCTCCACTCTTCTTCAGACTCTGGGACCTTGATTTATAAATGACATGAAAATTTACTTTCATCTGGAAAAAGGACATTGGACCACTGAGCAACAGTCCAGTTCTTTTTATCCTCAGCAGGTAAGATGCTTCTGATGTTGTGTCTGGTTTAGGAGTGGCTGGACTCGAGGAATGAGACATTTGTAGCTCATGTAGGAGTTAATCAGCTGATCAGGGTGAGACACCAGGAGTTTACAATACTGAACCTCTTCACAATATTCTAATGTTCTGATACACTGAATTTTGGTTTTTCATTGTTTGTAAGATATAATCATCAAAATTACAAAAAAATAAAGGCTTTAAACATTTCATTGTCTGTGTAATGAATCTGTACATGTTTCACTTTCTGAAATGATGGACAAAAAAAACACTTTTTCACGATATTCTAATTTTTTTTAATCTACATCTGTAAACCTGTTGATTGATTTGACAGACATCACAAACCAAGTCTCATTTTATAAAAGTTAACAGAGTAAAAAAATATATGTTCATTTTACAAATAGTGTGAATTAAAAGGTTAGTAAAGATGAAGAACAGTTGTATATCTACAATTATTTGCCCTTTTGACACATAATGTAACCAAAGGCATAATGGAATAAAGAATATTAAACTTTGTTTTTAAACAAAATGTAAATATATATTTTTTAATTAAAATATATAACAGTTCAGAGGAACTAAAACAAAAGCTTCACAGTTTTTATAAGTAAAACACAAAGCCTCACACAACTAAAGCAAAGTTATCATTTTAAATGCCAATAGTTTTTTTGTGTTTTTTTGTGTAAATATACAATTATTATCTGTTGTACACATAAGGAAGTGATCACCAATAACCCATACTGTGGTTCGAACTTTATCAAAACTGGATGATGACACCAGTATAGAGGGAGACAGTGGTTAGAAGGGCAAAAATCAAATAAATCATGGCATTTGTGATGGAAAAAAATAAATAATTAAATCAACTTTACAACCTGTTACACTTACTGATTTTTTTAAACCATCCTTTTGGTTTTTGGGTTGTCCCTTTAAAAAAAAAAAAAAAAAAAAAACTCAACTGATTTTATTTGTTTTGGGTCAAATGGGTGTCAAGTTATCACTGCCCAACAAAGGAAAGCTCATCTGAGTGAGTCCAGGGAACAAAGTTTATGTGTATAACACTGTCATGTCAGTCTTCTGGTTTTTCTGGTTCTGCTCTTATGTTACATGCTGCTCTCTCTCGTGTTACAAGCTGCTGTTGTTGTACTAAAATAATTTTAGTTTTTCTGGTGTAAAATTAAACGCAAAGACCAAAAAGGTTTCAATCAGCTTATTATTTTTGCTTTATAAACAACAACAAAAATGTGCTTGAATATAAAGTGCATTTTAATAATTGTTTAAAATATATACCTCTAATTCAATCTCTTATATTGAAAAAAACAACATATTTTCAGTCAATTTTAATGAAATAGATTGTTTAAAGTGTAATTAAATGTACAAGGTAAAACATACTAAATCAGCTGTTTCATTTATGTATTTATTTTTGCAGACTATCTTACTATTTTTTCCCACTATATTACTTCTATGCATTCCTCATAAAGATTAGGAATCCAGCCTGTTTTTCACATGATCCTTGATTTATAAACAAAGTAAAGACAAAAGTGATGATCAATACGGGCACTCAGTACTCATGATACAACTTGAATCCACCCAGTGAGTACTAATCAAAACGATTAGTTAAATATTAATCAGTCTAAAGAGAACTACACACAGTCTTCTATCAATGTTAATAGAATTGCTTTAAGTAAATTTTACGTTTTAACATTACTAGTGGTAATAAAAATTGTAAAATATGTAAGCATCCATTTATTAACTAATTTATCTGAGTGAAAACTTAAGTACAGTAATTTAAACAGTATTTAACTCCAAAAACCATTTGTACAGTGATAATTTCACAATACCTACGTAGATAGTTCTATTACGAGATGTTCCTGAACGCCTCAGGTTTCGTCATTTGCGTTAGCAGATCTCAAAGTATCTGGATGCGTGTGGACCACAATGAACACGAATAGAGCCTCCATGTTGCTGTCGCCGTCAACATGATTAAACATCGTCTGGTAGCGTCTGTTCTAACAGGGAAGGCTAGTTATAGTTAGCTAGATGTAACCGAGTTTGTACCAGCAGGCGTTACGTCACTTTAGGTCGTGTCCCACCTGGGAAATAACGGCCTAAAGGAGCAAACTCTTACTAGTTCATACAACAAGCCATATGGTACTAGTGTTAGTCACCGACCTGCCAAACAAGTATAGTGCGACAGCTTAGTGACTTAGCATATTTTTCCCGAAGGTGCTACCAAAACGTTTTCATCGTGCACTGTGAGTAAAACTATCAAACTAGTTAAATGTTGCCAGTTTTACTATTATTGTGCTTTAGAATTACGGTACGTTAGTTTGAAATGTGACGTCCTTGTGCTTCGCCGGTTGTTTAGCATTAGCTTGGTGCTCGTTGGGCCTAGCTTTAGGTAGCTAGCAGTGACCCGTTCAATAGCAACATAGCTTTAGTTTGTTTATTTACTGACAGAGTGAGCAGGAGTTTAGGTAAAGAAGTATGTACGGTACAGTTCATGATTTAAAAAACTGAACCTCCTCCTATGAGCAGCACTGACTGTAGTTTTTGACTATTTATCACCTGTTTTTCTTAAAGCTAGCAGTGACGTTGAGGTAAAATGTGCAAGGTTTTCAAGTAGTGCTTTGATATTTTTGTTTTGGGCAGTCAATTTTCAGCTTTGTGTTTCGATTACTTTTAGCTGTTTTCAAACAATTCTAAGAGTTTACATTTCAATTAAAATTTGTAGGATTTGTTGCCCATTAGATTCAGATAAATACATAAATGTGGCAGATGGTATTGAAACATACAGGGCTTCTCGTACACATGGAACTTGTGTGTTTCAGTGTTTTTATAATATATCAATCAATCAATCAATCAATCAACTTTATTTATATAGCACATTTTAAAAACCACAAGGGTAGCCAAAGTGCTGCACAATAAAACAATAAAAACAAACAAGACAATAAAAACATACAAAGCACAAACAAAGAAACATAAAAACCATTCACATACCAGTTTCACAGCACATACTAATATAATTATATTTTTATACAGTTTTCTAATATCTAAATATTATACAGTAACATCTGAGGAAAAATTATTTTATTTAAAGTCACAGAATCAAACAGTATTTGGCCTCACTCCAGTCTATTGCTTCTTGCTGACAGCTAACAGATGTTAGCTGCTTGTCTCCCCTTCTGTAATGCGTTTAGTTATTGTTTGTTTTCAGGATATTCAGACACAAGGAGTGATGTCCTGTACGTGCACCTCAGCTGTGAGATTGTTCCTTAGCACCGCTCACAGAGGTAAGAAAAATAACACATACCTGTCTTCAAGCGTAAACTGTGTGACATCTGCCCTCACTAACCCACATTACTGTTTATTACAGTCATGTAGCTCTTGTCAGCAGCAGGTGGAAGTTGGAAGTGGAGTTGGGTAGCTATAGATAGGCCAGCCCTATTACATCACATCACACATCTTTCTGTTGTGTAGGACAGTGAGAGTGTGTAGTATTTTGTTGTTTGTAAGCTGGAAAGCACCAAGTTGAGTTATGCTCCTATGATGGAGAAAAAAACGTGTATACTAGTGTGTGTGATACTAATAATTTTAAAGTTAACAAATGTCAGACTAGCAACTAAATGGTTAGGTTTCATGTGTTAGAGTAGATTTGACACATCCTGTCACAGATTTTCTCCAGGAGTGAAATTAAAGCATATGCTCCTGGTTTTGCAGGACTGTCATGCACCCGAATCCAGCTGTTTTCTCTGAGTCGTCAGGGCTCTCGGGAAACTCCTTTTCATCCACGGGTGTGTGTCAGGTCGTTTTCAGACACCTCTGTCTGTTACGCAGCTAAAGATGGGACAACGAAAGACGGCGGAAATGATTGCGGAAAGGTAAACTCTTGAAAGCTAAAACTCATTTTCAGCCGTTGTGGATGACAATTTTTTTACTTGTTAAAGGAGTTAATAAGTATACTCTAATGTTGTCTTTATTATTATTTTTTTAACATAGAAAAGTGTCAGTGAGGGAAAAAGACTGTCTGGTTCTGGAGGATCAGGCAAAGGGGGAAGCCAGTTACGCTGCCCTAAATGTGGAGACCCCTGCACACATGTAGAGACCTTTGTATGTAAGTACATTTGTTTGTTTTAGCCAATAATAATATGTTTTTTAATAAAAACTAAAGACACTAGTTTTGATTGTGAAATAATCTAAAAAACATCCAAGTTTTCAGGAATTACCACTGCCAATAGAAGTGTAGGCGTTAGTTTTTTGCAACATTACATAAAAAAAAAATTGTTTGACGTTCACTTGTACATCTGAACAGTTCTCCATCAGTTTGTCAGAATATGGCATTAATCTGTGAGTCTGTATGTGTTTTTGTGATTAGAGCAATTCACCGACTTAAACTTAGGGGCTGCACTAGATAAACTATCGAGCAAACACAACGCATAAATATGCACCATAAACAACCACGAGAGACGTGGGTTTCAGTGTTGTCCTGTGACAATTTTCAGCTTTGTTTTGCAACTTTACCGTCGTGTGAGCTGATTAGTTGCTGCTTACAGGAGCGTCTCGGACGATTAGATGACAGATTTAGGCTTTGTCTTCCACATTCTAGAGTAAATATTGTCACCTTCACTAACTTACCTCAAACACAGGCAGTTTAAGCAAACAGGATTTAGCTTTTTTCTTTGTTCTTATTGTACATAAAAGCAACAATTAAAAGTTGAAAATAATTTGGACACAGCTTTTATTACAGCTGTAAAACATAAACCATCAGGTTCACTAGAAAATAATAAACAATTCCAGTGTTTTGAGAGCAAACAAATCACTCTAAAATTAGAAACAGCAAGGACATGCATGCAGGCATGCTCACTTTTATTAGTGCCTTTTCTCATTAAAGGTGACCTAAGTAGTATTTCAGTTTTGACGTGAACTTGTTTAAATTTGAAAAATTTGAAACTTAAAAATTTGAAACTACGAAAGTATTTATTTATTGTTGTTGTTTTAAAAATGTTTGCAAGTGTTGCTCTAAATTAGATTTTTGCTTGTGTCCTTTTGTAGCATCAACACGGTTTGTCAAATGTGAGAAGTGTCATCACTTTTTTGTGGTCCTTTCGGAAACGGACTCTAAAAAAGGGCTAAACAAAGAACCAGAATCTGCTGCGGAGGCTGTGAAATTGGCGTTTTCACAGAAACCACCTCCTCCCCCCAAGAAGGTAAGACATTTTGAGCTGGTGACACAGCTGCCAAAATATTCACTTGAACTTTTGAACATGTAGTTAAATCTTGTAAACTTTTTTTGTTGGTTTTAGATATATGCCTATCTGGACAAATATGTTGTTGGCCAGTCTTACGCTAAAAAGGTCCTGGCAGTTGCTGTGTATAATCACTACAAGCGCATCTACAACAACATCCCTGCAGGAAGCCGACAGCAGGTGGAGGTGGAGAAGCAGCCGTCTTTGACACCTCGTGGTCAGTGCTTCTGTTTTTTTCCCAACTTTCTTGTCTTATTCCAGATTTTATGTACATTCAACAAGCAAACCAGGCTGTCATTGTAGACTTATGTGCAAAGTCCTGTAGTGCATCAAAAAAAAGCACAATTTCAAGCGATTCAACAAAATCTGTTTTGCTGCAACACACTTTGTCATTTGTTGCGTCGTTATTATTGGCTCTTACAGAAAATATCCAGTTAAATCTAATGGTATTGTAAGTTCAAGGTCACTCAAGAGTGCATGCATTAACAATAAAATGTAAAAAAAAACAACTAAAAAAAAACTCATATTGACCAACAGCCATTAAACTTTTTTATTTTTAAACGTAGGAGTTCATGAATATCAATATCGGGTATCTGCTCTAATACTTTGAACATACACCCACACTATCCATCCATCCCTCCATTTTCTTCCGCTTATCCGGGGTCGGGTCGCGGGGGTAGCAGCCTAAGTAGGGAGGCCCAGACTTCCCTCTCCCCAGCCACTTGGTCCAGCTCCTCCGGGGGAATCCCGAGGCGTTCCCAGGCCAGCCGAGAAACATAGTCCCTCCAGCGTGTCCTGGGTCTTCCTCTGGGTCTCCTCCCGGTGGGACGTGTCCGGAACACCTCACCAGGGAGGGGTCCAGGAGGAATCCTAAACAGATGCCCGAGCCACCTCAACTGGCTCCTCTCGATGTGGAGAAGCAGCGGCTCTACTCTGAGTCCCTCCCGGATGATCGAGCTTCTCACCCTGTCTCTAAGGGAGAGCCCAGACACCCTGCGAAGAAAACTCATTTCAGCCACTTGTATCTGAGATCTCGTTCTTTCGGTCACAATCCAAAGCTCATGACCATAGATGTGGGTGGGAACGTAGATCGATCAGAAAATTGAGAGCTTCACCTTTTGACTCAGCTCTCTCTTCACCACGACAGACCTGTACAGCACCCGCTTCACTGCAGACGCTGCACCTATCCGCCTATCAATCTCGCGCTCCATTTTTCCCTCATTCGTGAACAAGACCCCAAGATACATGAACTCCTCCACTTGGGGCAGGACCTCCTCCCTGACCCAGAGAGGGCACTCTACCCTTTTCTGGCTCAAGGCCATGGCCTCGGATTTGGAGGAACTGATCTTCATCCCGGCCGCGTCGCACTCGGCTGCAAACTGCTCTAGCGAAAGCTGTAGATCACGATCTGATGAAGCCAATAGGACCACATCATCTGCAAAAAGCAGAGACACAATCCTAAAGCCACCAAAACGGATCTCCTCAACAACTTGGCTGCGCCTAGAAATTCTGTCCATAAAAGTTTTGAACAGAATCTGTGACAAAGGGCAACCTTGGCGGAGTCCAACTCTCACCGGGAACAAGCCCGACTTACTGCCGGCAATGCAGACCAGGCTCTGACACCGGTCACACGGGGACCTAACAGCCCGTATCAGAGGGCCCGGTACCCCATACTCCCAGAGTACCCCCCACAGGGTTCCCCGAGGGACGCGGTCGAATGCCTTCTCCAAGTCCACAAAGCACATGTAGACCGGTTGGGAAAACTTCCACGCACCCTCCAGGACCCTGCTGAGAGTGTAGAGCTGGTCCAGTGTTCCACGACCAGGACGAAAACCGCACTGCTCCTCCTGAATCCGAGGTTCGACTACCCGACGGACCCTCCTCTCCAGAACCCCCGAATAGACTTTACAAGGGAGGCTTAAGAGCATGATCCCCCTGTAGTTGGAACACACTCTACGGTCCCCCTTTTTGAATAGGGGGACCACCACCCCGGTCTATCATTCCAGGGGAACTTCCCCCCGATGTCCACGCAATATTGCAGAGTCGCGTAAGCCAACACAACCCTACAACATCCAGAGCCTTAAGGAACTCAAGGCGAATCTCATCCACCCCTGGGTCCCTGCCACCGAGGAGCTTTTTAACCACCTCGGTGACCTCAGCACCAGAGATTGAAGAGCCCGACCCAGAGTCCCCAGGCTCCGCTGTGGAAGACGTGCCGGTGGGATTGAGGAGGTCTTCAAAGTATTCTGCCCACCAACCCACGACATCCAGGGTTGAGGTCAGCACCACACCACCCCTACTATAAACAGTGTTGGTGGCGTACCCCCCCCCGAGATGCTGGATGGTGGACCAGAATCGCCTCGAAGCCGTGCGAAAGTCACCCATACTAAAAGAAAAAAAATGTTCCAATACCATATAATGCAGTTTGAGATACCTAAAATTTTAATTTAATTGTCTGTAGAGTTGCTAAAATTTTAAACTTTTTAATTTACAGTCCATAATTAGGCATCCTTTAAGATATTGATCAATATTTAAACATTCTGGGTTGCAGGCTCATTGCTATATGAAGTAGGACTGACCACTCTTTTTATCATCTTGTTATTATTTTTGTTTTAATTTTTGACAATGACAAATACATTTAAAAGTACTGTGAAAATTATTTTGTTTTTAATTTATATAAAAAAAATCTCTGGTAAAGTGCTGGTAAAACACTTTGTTTCAGTCTGGTTAAACTGAGGCTGTGCTGAAAATGTTCTTCCTCAAATGGGAGGGCGACACGAAGCGTTTGAGACCCACCTTATGCACGTGATGCAGTCGTGTAAAATAGTTTTAACTTCAGTACTGAAACCTGGATCTCGAGCATTTCAATAAATTTAATCTATATAAATAACTGATGTCCTTCACCATAGCTGGACTTGAATCATAATCTGTATTATTTGGCATTTGTTCAATAATTCTAACGCAGATGAACAAACTTCTTTTAAGGGACTGCATTAACATTGTCAGAGTGATAATAATAAATGATAACATTGATTTAAGCACTCTGATCCTCTGCTTGTAGAGCTAGAGATGAGAAGACGAGAGGATGAATACAGATTCACAAGTAAGTGACTGACCTCCTTACTGTTATCTGACTGACTGTATTTTTTTTTATCAGCAGTGACGTATGTCAGAAAACAATCAGTAGGTTTCTGTTTTGTTCTGTTTTGAGTTGTACAAATGCCAAAATGTACAGAACACTGTGACTCCTCAGACCTGTCCTGGCTCTTTTGGTGAAATATATCTAAATATTGTGATTTTATTACCTTTAATTTCCTTTTAGTTTAATATTGTTTGTAGAGTCTGACATTCTGAAATGCATTTTTTTTTAATGTATTGTCCAATAAGAAGTCTGTCATTAATAGGTATATCTCCATCCATCCATTATTTTTTACCCGTTTCTTCCATTTTGGGTCACGGGGGTCGCCAGTGCCAGCAATCACTGTGCGAGAAGCGGGGTACATCCCGGACAGGTCTCCAGTCCATCACAGGGACACATAGAGACAAAGGAGACAAACAACCATTCATTCTCTCACTCACACCTAGGGACAATTCAGAGTCACCAATCAGTCTAACATGCATGTTTTTGGACTGTGGGAGGAAACTGGAGTACCCGGAGAAAACTCACGCAAGCATGAGAAGAACATGCAAACTCCACCCAGAAAGACCCCAGGTCCAACCGGGGATTGAACCCAGGACCTTCTTGCTGTGAGGCAACAGTGCTAACCACTGATCCATCGTGCTGCCAGCGCTGAGATAATGGACAGTAGTACCATAGTAGAACCTGTCTCCATTGCTCTGTCGGTGTCGTTACAAATGTGTACTTGGAATGTATTTGTCAATATTTTTAATCAAAACCGTGCATCTAAACAAATATTTACCAGCTATAAACTTGAAATTAGCCACTGGTGGTGGTATTGTCCACATTTCTTTGTGTTGATCAATATAATGACACCAATAATACTCCAAATCCCTTGCTTGCACCATTATTTACAACTCTGCATTATCATGCGTTAACCTGACTTTCACCGACCCAAGACATTTACTTTTAACCTTACGTAATCCAACACAAGTTCTGGGTCAACTCATATGAACTTTGTCATATGGGCCATCGTTACCAACCAGAAAAAAAGGATAACAAGGAAGCCCTTATGACCTACATTCAGACTGTTGCCATGCTCAGGCAAGCTGACTCTTGTAATCTCCTCTGGCACTGATCAAATGTATTTTTAGCTCATACTTGGAAAATGTCACTCAGAATATTTCCACATGCCAGTAAATTAATGAGTTACTTGTTTGTATAACAATGTCTCAGATATTTGTGATGGCTCTATATTGTTACTTGTCACTCAGTTCAGATGTGTGGCTTGTTGTTGCAGAGCTGCTGCAGATTGCAGGGATCAGCCCTCATGGAAATGCTCTGGGAGCGACCATGCAGCAGCAGGCGAGCCAGCAGCCGCTTCAGGAGAAGAGGGGTGGAGAGGTCCTGGACTCCATGCACTCAGACATCAAACTGGAGAAGAGCAACATTATACTCCTCGGTCCGACCGGTTCAGGTTTGTGTTTTCTCAGTTTTCAGTGCGGTGTCGCCGTGCCAAGTTTGTGGTTTGTTTGCGTTATAAATGTGCTAAAAGTTATTTAATGATGGTTCTTTTTTTTTTTTTTTTTTTTAAACAGGAAAAACATTATTGGCACAGACACTGGCACGTTGTCTTGATGTTCCATTTGCAATCTGCGACTGCACCACTCTGACTCAAGCCGGATACGTGGGAGAAGACATCGAGTCGGTCATTGCCAAACTTCTGCAAGACGCCAACTACTCAGTGGAGAAGGCACAGCAAGGTGGGCGGAGGGACTACAGTTAATAACAGGAGCAGAGTCTCTCCATATGTTGGGGCAGAACCAGGAGTAAATGGTCAAATAGAACCAGGTCTACCTAAAAATTCAGTTGAGATCATAAAACACAGATGTACACAGTCTGTAGAGCTACAGTGAGCACAGATTGAACACAGCAGAGTTTGCCGCTAAAGTCACCACGTTTATCGTGTTTCTTTTATGTGGTATATTTATTAGCAGCCAACCTCAGTTAATAAACCTAAATATTTCGTAGATTAATATTCCCACTTTAAGGTTGTGCAAACAAAAATATATCACTATGACACTTTTTATATAAAGACACCCAGCTCTGACAGTATCTGAATTCGAGAGCTGTTTTCCATTTGATGAGATTCTGACTCGGCTCCGGACGGTTTCCCTTCTCGCTTGTTTCCTCTCAAACACTCCTTTACATTGTGAGGTCTGTCCTCAAAGAGGCACAAGTCAGAGGAGAGTGAGCATTTAAAGCTGAGTGAGCTGTGACCAACACTACGCCTTTAAAGTCTGCAGCTCCAAACAGAATTATTCAGTAAGGTTTAAAGTGTGGTACTTGTTGTGTTTTGACTGAAACATGTCACACAGTAAGTTTGACACTTTGTGTTTAAAAAAAGATGCAGTATGTCTTCTTTAAAGGCAGGGTCTGTTTGGTTACAGTAAGACCTGATTCTAACCATGGTTGTCCTGTCCTCCTGTGTCACGCTGCAGGTATTGTGTTCCTGGATGAGGTTGATAAGATTGGCAGCGTGCCTGGAATCCATCAGCTAAGAGATGTGGGCGGAGAGGGAGTTCAGCAGGTCAGTTTTTACCCAGATTGCTTAAACAAATCCGGTGCAACATAAAATCTACAAAATACATCTTTAGTCATTTTGAAATTGTTGTTTCTGTTGATGTGCTTGTAAAAAGCATTTAGGACTAAGAGGGGATTGCTGTTTTTAATTATTTATTTACTTGTTTATTTGTTTGGACTCAAATATATTAATTTTAAGGAAAATTTCCAGGTTGTCCAGAGGACAACCTCTTGACAGAATCTGATTGTCTGCAACTTTTTTACAATAAATAAGCCAGAAACTCTCAAGAACAATGTCATTTAAAAAGTATATAGCACATATACTAAGTCTACTAAATACAAATGTTCTGAGTGACGTGCTGACAGCTGCTGAGTGGCAGATTCATTCAGGAGCTGCTCCAGAGGAACGTCCTCATTCTCCTCCTCATCTTCTTTTATGTCGTCAGACTTTATGAGAGGCACTCGCAGCGTATTTAAGGCTCAGGGATAAAACAGAAAAAAACTTTTGACTGAAATGTTTTCTTCATCTTAAGGTTCCCCAAATACCCCCAGAACCACACATTTGAGAGATTTTTCCTGCATACTGGACTTTTCTCAAAGGTTATCATAGAAAGAGGCGTATACTGTGTACATGACCTTAGTAAAAGTACACAGTATACTGTGTACAT